AATTTATCTTTGAATATAGAAATTGTCATTTGTGTTGCCTTACTAACAGGTAAAATATCCTTTACTACGCACTTACCGGCGAGCCACTTAGAGGCATATTATCTAGAAATGATTAAAATAATACGCATGCGTTTAATGAACTTATTTTTAAGATACCATCAGGCAGTTTAATCGATTAATAACTGTTTGTATCAAATATCTAGAAATAGGTTTTAACAAACGTAAAATTTTGAATTCGATCAGTAGAATAGGTGTAACACAAATGCAACATTACGAACATAGCTGTAAATAAACTGAAATATGTAGTACAGGCACAACTGAAGTTCCATTGTTGAAATTGAAATGTCTAAAATGGGCACTATTGGGCTTTTTTTTTCTTTCTTTTTATTTTTTTTTGAAACCTAAATGCATAATATGAATACTATTAAACTTCCATTGTTGAAAAAATGTGTAACCCAGCAGAATGTTTATCGTAAACGCTGGATGAGAAACGGAAATTTTATTATCCAAATTTATATTTCATTATTTACCTTAGTGATATAATTACGTTATAGATAGTTGTACATTACGGAATTACTCATATTAAATAAATCATGCTTTTTAGTACAATAAGTTGTACAGACAATGTAGTTCCTTTTCTAATGAATTGTTATTTACTTGTGCTATAACCGTGATTTCATTTCACAGCCACAGCAGTCTTCGATCAAATGCAATAACTCAACCTCTTCCCAAGGCCTTTATCATTGTTTATGAATAACATTAACTGTATTCACTATGAAAACAAGATAACTTTATAAGCATAATACTTTCAAACTAAGAAAATATATGATATATCATTCTTCTCTTTTCACTGCAATATTTAGAAAACTTAGCTGCATGTTCCGATAGTCATTAATTCCTTTCCACCCTCAACTCAAAGGTAAACCCACAAACCAAGGGTTTAATGCTGCCGGAGTACCGCTCCGTTACCTGAAATTGGATCTGATCCAGACATTTTCAAAAACTAAAAATCTGTATATATAAATATGTTCTTCAGTTTACACCCAAAATTAAACGTCTTTCATATCCAAACTCTCAGAGTTTCATAGAACTCTCTGGCTGTTTGTGCCCCCCTCTCCCTGTGTCCACTGGTAGAGCTCTTTAAGACTGCCCAGCAAAAATTATGTCACTCTCTCTCTCTCCCAGGAACGGGCGTCAGACACAGTGCGGTCTCTTCGGTTCAGAAGCAGAAGTGAGAGCATTAAAATAGTGAAATGTTTTTGTCATACGTCACATAATCATTAAGAAACACTAGTGTGGTATTGAAATAATTAATAAAATAATTTTTCCATTATATTCTGTATTTAGAACGTATAGATTTCTTAAAAGTCTCATTATTTAGTTAATATATAATGAAGGTCGTTCTTTTTAGTTTTTCATATTGACAGCCAAATCAAAGTTGTAATACTATTTGCAGACTATTGTTCCTAATTCTGAAGCTGAAGTACTGTATATATGGACCTTGGATACTGTTGTTATGTCTTTGCTGCTTAATTTAAAAGAAGTTGAGTTGTGTGTTTTCTGTAGGTAATATTTCTGTATTCAATTTGTTATGAATATAAGTAGTCTCAAATAATTAGTGCTGCTTACATTTTCCTTATTAAAAATGAATCGATAAAAATGGAAATTAGCTTTTCAGTATAAAATATATATACTTCTATGGGGACGTCATACGTCTCATACATTTGGCAGGACTCCGGCACTATAATATTTAGTGCTCCAGAATCCTCTTTTGTACCAGTTACATAGATTTTCCTCATTTGTTAGATCTGAATTAACTTGAATGACGTTTTAGGTAACAGAACGTTTTTGGTATGTTTAGTTCTAGAAGAGCTCAGTTTCTCAAAAGAAATCTTTAGCTAACAAGTACTAAATACTAAAATGAGCAATGTATTCTCAATCTTGATAGAGTGCATTTTTCTGTCTTTGTATTTTCGCATGTTTCATGTTGTTTTATCTCTGTATGTGATACTACATTTGCTCTTGTAGATTAAACTGATTAAAAAATTGAACATGGACGAATATTCTTGCATATAATTTAAAGTTCTATATTTCACTGTGGTAGGCCAAGTCAGAAGTATCGCCGGCTAACCCTATCCAAGGTCTAATATGATAATATAGAACAAACAAAATTCTTCTATCCATTTAGACCTGATAGTATGTATAGTTAGTTTGTGACTACCAGATTTGTTGGTAAAATTTGCCATTAAAGGAGAATACGTTCAGTGTTAATACAAGTTCGGCAAGACGTAAGAGAGCACGCGTGGGTGAGGAGGGAGGAGTTAGTAAAGAACGCAGATCCAGCTAATGTTTGAGGGCTTTCATATCATTGTTATGGGAAATTGATGTGTAGAGTGTTTGTATGTCTATGGTAAATATGTAATGTTCACTACAAGAGAATTGAAAATTGTTGAATGTTCGGAGTACATGCGTCGTGTCTTTTACGTAACTAGAAATAGACCAGATGATGGGCTTAAGGACGTCATCAAGAAAAGATGAAATAAATTCGGTGGGGCAGTTACAGGCGGAAATAATTGGGCAACCAGGGTTCCCTGGTTTGTGAATATTGAGGAGGAGGTAAAATTCTGGGGTTCTGAGATAACTAACAATTAGATTAGTAACATCCGATGGCAAGTTACCTGAAAGAATCAAATCGTTAATGGTAGTTTTAATATTCAAGTTAAACGATGTTGTCAGATCGCTAGTTAAGGGATGGTAAAAATTAATCTCAGAACGTTGTTTTTCAGCTTCAGCAAGGTACAGATCTTTATGCCATGCTACTATAGTCCCACCTTTATCAACAGGTTTAGTAATTATGTCTTGTCGCTTAGAAAGCGTTAGTAAGGTTTTGTGTTCATCACAGGTTAGGTACTGTGTTTAGGTTTACTTAAAAAATCAAATTTGTCCATATCATTGTGACATTTTTTGTACAAAATATTCTAAGCTAGTGAATGTTCCAATGGTCGGTGTCCACTTGGAGTTCATTTTCTTGTATTTCTTGACATCACAATGGAGGTCTTGATTAGGAGATGAACTGGTATATTGGAGATGTTGGTCCTGGTATGTAGTGAGCTTCATATTGGAAGTTAAATGATCGCCAATACTGTCAAAAGTAGTTACTTGGTGTAGGTGGGGTTGTTGATCACAAGTGGAGGTTGTGATTCTGTGGACTTTAGTAAGTCTGTTTGTTTGTTTGTTATTAAGCACAAAGTTACACAAAGGGCTATCTGTGCTCTGCCCACCATGGGTATCGAAACCCGGTTTCTAGTGGTGTAAGTCCGCAGACATACCGCTGTGCCACTGGGGGACTTTAGTAAGTCAATCCACCTAAAGTAACAGGCCTTCTAGTATCGAAATATGATATCATCCCACCCTAAAATAGCTGCGTCCTTTGGTTCCACAGCGTGGAACTATTGCGTAATCGTCTGTCATGGCCGCCTAGCAACGCGCTCTCTGGTGACGCTTTGTGGAACTATGATGTAATCGTCTTTGGTGACATCATCGTCTCTACCCCTCTACATGTAGTGCTCTCTAACGGCGTGACGCGCGGGTAACCCTCTAACTACTTGGATGGACTTGGTGGAAGTAATGGAAGATGGGATAGGGGTGGATGGAAGATATTTTATTTTGAATTGAAATAATTAATATATGTTCATCTTTAAGTTCAACTGAAAACTGACAAAAAGCAGAGCTACAGTGTGAAAAAGAAGTGCTACAACAACTAGAGATTGAAACATTAAAAGAACACAAGCACTCAACATCAATAAGTCCTGAATGAATGTTCGTTGTATCTGAAAAAGCCCCGCTTTTGAAATGAAATTTTTGTTTTATTTTACTCTATCTTTCACAATTCCAAATACAGTGGTTAGAATTAAAATGGTATGTTGGAAATGTTTTTATATAGTTCTTTTATTCTTTTTGAGTTACGAAAATGCTAGGTATTAAAAACACCCATTTCCGTTGTGTAAAAATGTTCATACTCAGCTGAAAAGTTGAAACATGAATAGAAAAAAAAATG